TACTTAGATTCTAGCACTGGCCATCAAGGTTTAATGAAGTGAGTAAAATACTTGAGGACTCCTCTAACATAGCCCTGAGACTGGTGCGTTGATGGAAGAAATTAACCTGAAACTCCTTTCTCTTCCACTGCTACCAACTCTTCCCCATCACAGAAGAAAAACCACTTCAGAAGGGCCTTAGGACTGGCAGTCTAGGAGAAAACTACCTAACCTTGCTCATAGGGATCAGATATCCTCAAGGAAAAGTCCTAAATGAACTCAGGATGTTAATTTCCTATTGTGGGACGTCATTAAATCATTCATCATAAAGTTGTCTTGCCGTCCTCTTCCACCATAGTAAGGCATTGTTCATTAAAGGCAGAGTTATGCCCTTTAATCGCAAAGCAATCTATTACAAATATTTACACTATCATACCCTTCAGCTGCAAAACTTTTATTTTGCTACACAAAAAAGTCGTACTAAAATTCTGCGAAGAATACCACCCCTTTCATTTTAGGTTGTTTTCCAACAAGGCATCTGCTGTAATCCATTTTTTAGCCCAGCCAGAAACTGTAGGAGGCAACCTATTCCTTTGTGGATCCAACTATTGTCCCTTAAACCAGTCTCTAGCAAAGCAGCTGTCCACAGCTTTAATCTGAGTCTCGCCAACACTTAATAATCTGATAACATTTACAAAGATTAATATACTAATTGCATGAGAAAGTCACATCTGTTTGCAAATTGTGCCAAACACTTTTGAAATATATGTGAGAATAATGGTATCTTTATTATATTATAGAACACCTTTCAGAAATAGATTTCACCTGATAACCCCTCTTGCCCCATCCCTGTCCCCTTCTCTCTTCCTCCTTCTCTGTCCTCCTTTCCCTCCCCCTCAAAGATAGGAGGTAAATCAGAAAAAGCCCACTGACCAGACATTCCCTTTGGTTCCTTCAAGGTCTGGGTATAGCAGATCATTCTGGAGTTGAATGCCCAAGGCTGGACCTGTGTCAACCCCTTGAAATACTTCTCCTCACACAGCTTCACATTTTGAGAGTCACCCTGTCAGGAAAGAACTATTCACTCCCTAACCAGTCAGGTGTCAGGCCTACTTTGGGTTCCGTCAAAAAGCGGTCGGAAGAAGGGAAGCAATTGCTTTCTTTGAAGGATCTTTAAGGTTGGTTATTCTGAAATACTGTAACTGTTTGGAGCACATATGATAACCCAAATGATTCTTTTGACTCAAAACACTTTTTAAAATACTAAAAACAAAACCATTGATTAGTATGTTTCTATGAAGAAAAAAATCTCTTCATTCTGAGAGAGTTTGCTTCTGCCAGCCAAAACATGATATTTAACCTGCTTCACAGTCTCACGAGATAGTAATTAGTAAGCTTGAAATACCCAGGACCCACAGGAATTCAGGGAATTGGGAGAGAAAACAACCTTAGATTATGATCGCCATTTGATTCCTGTATAAATGAGAAAATAAGCAGAGATAAATGAGCAGGCTGCCCCAACATAAGGTAAGTTTTCACTCGAACTTGAGCTTTCTGATTCCCAATCAGTACTTTTTGCATCACTCTCTTCAAAGTCCATCAAGAGTTACCTTTGATAACAATCACATAAAGGACTTTTCTTCCCAAGCAGGGATTCAACAGAATTTTAATTCCCCACATAGGAATACCACAGTCAAACATCTTTTTGGAAAAGTGAAGTTGGAGGAAGCATTTATTATACAAATGCTAAGAATGGCTTACTGAGGCTAAACAAACATTAAATCAAAAAATTAAATGGACGCTAATGATACATGATTAAATAATATTTGGTACTCTGTCACCAAGTCAACAGCATAATAATATAATATAATATACTACAATTTTCATGCTAAGAGAAACCACCTAGTTTTTTTTTAAAACGCCAGCTATCTTATTGTCAATCAAGAGGTATCTATAGCAGTCCCTACCCAGAGGCAAGTGTAGGGTAAAGGCTATGCTAAAAGCCACCAAGAATTAAGGTGTGCTGTGTACATGCACCACCTTCCCAAAATGAATGCAATCATTTGCACTGCAAACATGTACTAATACAAATACAGATGACTGAAAGAAAGTAAAAATCACTAAGACTCGGGCTATTCACTGACTGAGCCACGAAAGTCAGTGACCTTAGGCTGCTCCGTTTTTAACCAGCCATGCTAGGCGCCCACATTGTTGTCCATATGCTGCTGTAAGTGGCATGTTCTGGCCACTAGTGCCTCTGCTGTCAACACCTCAACAGCAGGAGTGAAAACGAAAAGACAAGGCTGTTCCACTGGCAAAGCCCAACTACGGAACTCATTAGTATTTTTCTGCATAGAGAAAAACATACAAGACTGGAGAGAAGGCATTCAAATCTACAATTCTAGCCTCAACAAAGGCATTACTGGCCTCACTTAATGGAAAATGAAGATCTTTGATAAGCACATTATTTCTCAATATGTTCTCAGCTTTGAAATAAATGACAAGAGCAGCATCAAATAAAATTTTGAGGGAATTATTCCTGTTACAAAAGCATCTCATTTTACAGAGAGATTCACAGCATGCATGTTTAAATAATGTTGACTGTTATAGAACGAGGCAAAAGAAAATGATTTGTGCTCATACTCAAAGCACTGTAAGTGAGCTGTATCTCTTTTTAATAACAATACTGGCTGGTGCAGCTACACCGACCTGGGACCATGATGAATACTACTGAGGGGAGGCCACAATCTGGATCCTAGAACGTGTCATCTAGGTTTGAGAAGAGAAACATGCAGAGTTTCTAACAACCATAGCCTGAGATTTTCAGAGAATCGAGAGTCTGAATGGTTAAAAATAGAGTTATGACTACTGTGGGAAGAAACCATACAGACACTCTTCTGAAAGCCAGGAGCTCCCTATGGCATATGTGCCTTATTAGATTATTATTCCAAACATTAATCATCAACTTTCATTTTCCATACAAGCCATTAAATCTCTTTTACTTGGATCAACAGCCTGAAAGAAACCAATTCTCTACATACCAATGTGAGGCATCTGCTATACCTAAGAGTTGAGATCAGCAAGTCAACTCGTAGGATCATGCAAAGGAAGAAAAATGAACTTCCAGTCTTCAACTACTACATCAGTGTTGTTTTGTTTTGCTTTGTTTTGCTTTGCTTTGCTTTTTGTTTTTTTGTTAAGGCGGAGAGACTATAAAGCCACCGCCGTTCTTACAATTTTTTTTTTCCAACCCAGTGAACAGGCCAGACATCAGTATGGGGAGGAACGCCAGTAAAATGCAGCACACTGCACAGAGTTCTCCAGCTACCTTGCTTTTTGAATTCTACAGCAGTCCTTCAAAAGATAAAGACCAAAGAATGCCTTCAAATGCATTAGTGACCTGAAGGTGAATCCAGCCAGAATGTATCAGGCGACTTATCAGGTATCATTCAGCACGTGATCTGTGCTACAACATGTTAACGCAGCACAGCCTGCTCTTCCTAAGAGAGCACTTGTCTTTGGAGAGACTGCAAGATGAGACAAGACTTCCTATTTTCAGTAAGTAAACATTTGTTCTAGAGCAACTCTAAACCTGCACACACACCCACTTTTTCACTGTGTCAGCGCTGGACAGGATCAATGACATATTTGTATTGGATCGCAGTCATTTTAAGATGGGTCTTTTCGTCTGTTCCTTTGTGCACGTCCATTTCAGTAGTTCAGCTGAGGCTCTTCTGCAACAGTACTGTCCACTGAAAAATACACCTTCCTTAGACAAAGAGTACGTTTTGTCCCCACTAGCTTTGTTGCTATTTCCAGCAGCAAATGATACAAAAGATACAATCTGCCATCTCCAATAGTAATAGTAAGCAGCAACAAGAGGAGCTGGGAGACAGAAGCGAGGTGGAGGGGAAGTGTTCTTTCGTGGGTGTTGTTTTTCGGTGCTAGGGATCGAACTCAGGGCCCGACAAGTGCCAGGCAGCCGCTCTACTACTGAGCTGCACCCTCAAGCCTGGGAGTGGGAACTTGTGATCTAAGAAATTCTGCCTTTCCTGATGAATGTGGAGCAGGGAGAAAAAAGGGGAAGGTGACGTTTTCAGTTAAGAAAAAGACAGAAGTGTGTAATGCTGTGTTGATTTTGTTTCAATACCGAAGCACCGGAGAACGCACAGTAGGCAAAATCTAGTTTAGACTAATGCTGGTTCAGTGAGTGACCCGTTTCTTCGTGATACAGTGGAGATATCTAACCACACTGAGGAATGAAACCAAAAATTAAAGGACAATTCTCTAAATCATTTTAAGTGTGTTCGGGCACCCAAAATAAGTTTGTGATTATTCACAGGGCACAACTACCGATTTCGTACGAGCATTTTGCAGGATGTGCACCCACCCTAACCTCACCTCTTTTAAAGAAACCGCTAATGACATGAGGGCTACTGGCAACTATTTCCCAAGACTGCGGGTTTGACATTCAGAGTGACAGATGGAAACCGAAAAGCAGCGAAGTCCCCGGTGAATTCTTCTGCGGCACAGTCCCAACAATCCCGCCACCGGGGTGTAGAGAGCAGAAGCATGCGCCGCTGCTCCTTCCTCCGGCCGGTCCCGGTCCCGAACGCTCCCGCGGTCAGGTGGTGGCGGCGAGCCCCGGCGGGAAGCCCGGCCCGGGAGCGCAGAATGCGGCGCCGACGGAGAGACAGGCTGAGCCCGCCGGGTGCCGCGCGTCCCGGGGCCGCCGCTCACCTTTGTTCGCCCGCCCTCTCGGCGTGGAGCGCAGGGCCGGCTAGGGAGGACTGCGGGGGCGACCCTGACGCCCGGCGCACTGGGGGCAGCGGGGTCAGCAGCCCCTCCCCGAACAAAGGTTGAGAGTAGCGAGCGCGAGCGCGGGGGTCGCGGGGGCGTGCGCCAGAGAGCACGCGAATGTGCGTGTGCGCAGGAGTATGTGTGTGTGTGTGTGTGTGTGTGTGTGTGTGTGTGTGCGCGCGCGCGCGCAGGGGGAGGGGAGGTGCTCCCGTCCTTCTTACCTCTCGAAGATGAGCCGCACCATGAAGATGCAGAAGGCCAGCGGGAAGGCGAGGTAGAGGTCCTCCGCCTGCGGGAAGGTGGCTTCCTCGGTGTTCTTCAGGTCCGCCCAGGTGACATTGTGCGGAAGCCAAAACCTCTCGTTCCAGAACCAGGCTAAGATCCCTGCCATCTTGCTTTGTCCACTCCTGTCCTGTGGCTCCCGAGGCCCGCCGAGCTCTCCTCTGCGCAGGGCGCCGGGGATGCGCGCCTGGCTGGCCCCCAAGCCTGTGCCGCCGCCGCTCGCGCCAGCCGCTGCCGCTTCCTCGGCGCCCGCTGCTCTCGAAGGCTCGCGGCGAACCCCGGTTCTCTCCTCCCTCTGGCCGCGCTGAGAAAGGGGCCGCCTCGCCTGTCACATGGCAGCCCAGGCCGCTCGCCCTGATTGGCTCGTCCCCGCGTCAAGCAGCCAGGCACACGCGGCCGGCTCCCCAGCGCCGGAGGGCAGGGCGCAGCCGTGTGCCCCAGGCGCAGGGCCGTGGCTCTGGCTCCAGAGGGTGTACCCGCCCCTCTGCTCTCTCGCCTAGCTCCGAAGGCAGAGACCTGGAGTGGGCTCCCAAATTCCGCCCCAGCCCCCAAGTTTGCTCGCACATGCTCAGAATGCAGGCTTCTGCCCCACCGGAGTTTAAGCGCTCTCATCCGCTTCCAATGCTCTGGGGCAGTGGGGTCAGGGGCCACGGCTGAGCTTCAGAACCAGCACCGTGCTGAGAGTCGACAGCAAAAGAAGTAGGGGGCGCAGAGGCCAAGGAGCAAGAAGTAGAAGGAAAAGATCGTCCAAACGCTTGGAGAGAGGGGTGAAAATCGGGAACTAGGGTACAGTGGTTTGGCGAAAGACTTCCGTCTCAGCTCCAACCCCGTCTTTCTCTATCTTTGACCTTCCGACCTCTTTATACTACTGCTTTCCATCAAACCAGCTACACCAAGGAACAAGGCCCTTTATTTGAACTTATGAGGTGCCACAAGAAATTAGGCACTTAATTGCCCTTTATTACGATTTGATGATAGCAGTGATCGTAATGATAGCATTCTTAAAACTGCTTCTTCCATCCAAGCTCTCAGAAAGTGCAGCTGGACCACATTTCGGCAGATTGTATTTGTCAGCTTTCCAGTTGCTGGACACAATACCAGACACAACTTATCGGAGAAAACGCTTTGATTTACCTCATGGTTTGGGGGAATTCAGCCTACAGTCAGCAGGCGGCAAGGCAGGAAGATGGAGGCAGAAGGACATGGCAGAACAAAGTTGCTTTAGTTCCTGGCTTCCAGGGAGCAGAGCAGGGGACCCAGGCCTGAGGGGGACAGGCTAGGGCTACATACTGTGTAGTACCTAAAATCATTATTTCTGCCTTTTAAATATGTATAAAACCTTTACGCATTGGGTCTGTGAGGCATAAGTCCAGCATTACCCACACCATACGTTTCTCCATTGATACGGGACCTATGGGCAGATTAACGGCCTTGCCTTTGTGGATGTAGTTCCAGGGGATACTCCGCTCATTTTTCTCACTGTCAGTTTTTAGCTTAGTTCTGCCAGTAAGTTCTACCGGACCTTTACAATGGGCATAACACACACACATACACACACACACAGAGAACCTCTGTTTATCCTTCCTCTCCCTCCACTTACCACCTGTTTTTCATCCCTTTACCCCCAAACTGTAGGAATGGCCTGTCTGTTACCTGTAATTTCTGTCCTCTGGTTGTCTTTTGAACCTTTGGCCATTTGGCTCCTCGAAGACACTGCTAAAACTGCTCCAGGTCCAGTATCTCCACGCTGCTGGACTCACCGGCCAGTTCTTGTTTTAGTGCAGACCGCTTAGACTGGGTGATGTAAACAACTGACATTTATTGCCCACACTTTTGGAGTCTGGAGAGTCTAAGATCAAGGTGCCGGCAGAGGCACATTCTCAGGGCATGGTAAGGGCTCTCTTCCCGATTCGTGGATGGCTGTCTTCTTCCCGTGCCAGAGAGAGAGAGCAGTGCTCAAGTATCTTCTCACCAAAGCACTAAGCCCATTCAGGACAGCACTACCCTCATAGACTTACTACCTCCCCAAACATCGTCCTTTTGAGGCCCAGGCTTTTACATATGAATTTGGGGAGGATGCAAACATTCAGTCCATTGCAATTCTGAACCCCTCTATCGGAAGCTTTTGGTCTACCTGGTCAGTTCCTCATAAAACATTCTTGTCATGGCTTCCAGAAACTGCATTCTTCTGTTTTTCCTCCTTCCTCTTGGTCACTTCTGCTCAGTGTCCTTTTTGGTTACTCTTCACCTTCCTAACCCCTAAAAGTCGGCCAGGCCCGGGATTTTAGGTCTTTTGTCCTCATCACATTTCCACCTGCACTCATCTGTTTGGTGATCTTACCCAATCCTGAGGCTTTCAACAGCATCTGCACAGCTTCCCATGCCACTAATGGCCCCATATTTATATCTCTACCCAGGAACTTTCCTCTGCACTTCAGCCTCCCGAATCCATTGTGAGCTCAACACCTCCACCTTCTCATGGCCAATCTAATCATCTAATCTAATCTAATCTAATCTAATCAATCTAATCTCTCCACAACCTTTCCCCTCTGTAGTCATGCTCAGACCAAAAATATAGTCATTGTTCCTTTTCTTCTTCTCACTAATTCCTTTTCTAACCATTATAAATCCTGTCAACATCGTTTTAAAAGCATAATTTCAACCTCTTCTGCCTCCATCTGATCCACACAAGCAACATTTCTCACTGAATTACCCCAGGAACCTCCAACCTCCCAACTTCTAGGCTTGTCCCTCTGCAGCTTATTCCCAGCCAGAGTGATCGTATCCCAGCGTAAGTCAGATCACTTCACAATTCGAAGACCTGCCCCTCCATCCTTCCCCAAGGGGAAGCCAAAGTCATTATAGTGTCCTAAGATATTTGGCTTCATATTCTCTCTGACCTCATTGGGCTCCCTCCTCTTCCTCTGCTTTGGTTTTTGGCCTCCCTGCCCTTCCTGGAACACATAGCTTTGCCTTAAAGCTTTTCTTTCTCCTTGGAACTCTTCTTCCTCATATGTTCTCATCTGTTTTTTCTTTAATGTTGCAGTGAACCTTCCCTTGCCACACTAGATAATCTATAACCCTCACATCGCAAAGCATTCTTCACCATCAACATGATATATGTTCTATTTATTGCTTCCCTCCCCCAACACACACACACGCACGTAAGCTTCAAAAAGTTAAAACTGTTTGTCTGTTTTATCTACTGTTCTATCTTCAGCACTTACAAAGTACCTGGAACATAGAGGTACCCCATAAACTATTGAATTAATGAATGAATCAACTTTATTCCAACTTCAAGAACTTCTCCAGGAGAGGAAAAGCCCAAATAATTGGTTCAATCTGTAGCTATCCATGGTAGACTCATGTGAAGAATAATGTGGACATATGGAATTGGTCTGTTTCAGGGTGAGAGTGGGAGAATCATTGAAATGAGTCATATTTAAGGAGAAAATGTCATGAGTATCACTCCAGACCATGTGGTCAGCTGCTCAGTGATGAGCCTGTGGAAGACGTTTTGTTACAACTCAACTGCATTTTTGTAGGCCAGACACAGGAGATCTTTAAGGCCTGTCACCATTTTGTGGCAGAAGGTCATGTCACGGTACTGCTGAGCCTTCTGGGCCAACCACAGCCCTTGCATGGCTCATGGCAGCCCCTCTTCTCTCCCCTCCCTTTGTCCTGGATGATCTGATAGTACCTTGTCTCCTAGCCCAGTGGTTCTGGGCTGTCCAGGAGCTGCTTCTGTTCTCAAGCTGGTACCACATTAAGTGCTGGTGAGTTGATGCCCAAGAGCCTGAACTTTGAGAACAGACAATAGAAGCCTATGGATACATTTTTACTCCTTTCCCTCCCCTGGACCTGGCACACAGAGACAACATGTGGTAGGGTCAGTCAGCTTATTTCAAAGCTGTGACGAGCTCAGTAACTCATGGTCCTGTGTTTCCTCTCCCTCTTTCTCTACCTCATTCACCTTGTCCCTTATTTCTGCTTCCCTGAAACTGGCTTCCTGGGACTTTTTTTCTACAGAAGCCAAAGTAATAGGAAGCAGAAGACAGTGCTGCTGTCTGTCACCCAGCTGTGACACAGCGGTGGGATTACAGGGACATTTTGAAAGACGGAGTTCACTGAGCCATTGAAAGAGGTGTTAGTATTTATTTGGGATTCTTGCACAAGTCACTTAGTTTCTAAGAGCGCATCAATGCCTTCCTATGTAAGTTATGTAACAATAGTGCCTGTCTTGCCCCTGGCACTTGGCATGAAACACAGGAGATAAGATATGGGGAAAGGCTTGTAAACTATTGACCTCTGTGCCCATGTACCACGCAGCAAACAGCTGGTCTTTTCAGCCTAGCATGCCTCCGTCAAGCAGGGGCCCCGTCCCATCATTTTCCATCTAAATGGTTACCCTCAAAAACCTAATAGAGTGAGTTATCATTTCATGTCTGGCTATACTTTATTGATCCAGAGTTGGTCCAATGTAGCAAATGAAGTCCTTTGGGTGCATTGGCCAGATCAGGGCATATTTCTATGGACATCTGGACATCGGATTTCAAACATTTCAAATGTTGGCCCTTCTACTTCATGGTACAGCTGGAAAAAGCAGAAGCCTCACTGCCCCAAGAGAGAATAAAACAGACCTGTAGAGTTGAGTGAAAACCAGAGACACAAAGTCCTTTTGGCATTTGAGCTCCAGGTTCCACACAGTACCTGGGGGCTGACTGCCTTCCCGTGTTTAGGTCCCATACACCGGCATATCTTCATGTTCACTTCCCTTTTGGGTTGGGTTGCTGTTATTTTAATGCAGAAGGTTCCCATTCTCCAAGACATTACTCAAGGGTACCTGTCTCCAACACTTCGCTGACCTCAGTGCAGACCCTAGGGAAGATCTGTCCCAGGAAGGACACAGCACAGCATACCTTCCAAGGAAGCCACTTTACACCTGGGAAGAAGGCTTCTAATTGTCTCCCTTGTAAACCTAAATGCAATCTATGCATCAGACAAATACACAGCTTAATAAGGAAATGAACTGTTAGTTATTAAATAGAAGAGACAAGAAAAGAAGAAAAATGAAAAACAAATTGGTGGCAGTGAGAGTGTGCCACCACTACACTGGTAGTCAGAGAGCATGATTTGGGCCTGAATGTAAAGTGGCCCATGAGAATATATCCGCTTTTCTTTTCCAGGCAACTGGAAAATATCAGCAAAACCGAGCTGTATTTCTGTCAGATTCACACCCACATTTTAGTTCTTCCACATACTTTTGGGTTCACTCTATAGGGAATCATCACTTGGATGCAGGACAGCCAGAAATT